ACAGAAACATTTTGAAAGTGAACGCGACCTTAAGGAGAAAACAACTTTTCCTTCAGGTGCTGGAAGAGATTGACCAATCACAGCAGACCGTGACACTCTTCATCTGTTTGGAGGCGTGTCAGAATCCTAGGTGCAGATGTTTGTGCAGATGTTTGTGCAGATGTTTGTGCAGATGTTTCCTGATGTTTGTGTCAGTACCTGCTGAGCAGACTTCCCCTTGGCCAGCAGGTTCTGGGTGGCGGCTTTGTCTCGCTGCACGCCGTCCTGCAACGCCTCGAAGCCTGAGATGTTCTCCTCCACCTGACCTTTCAGGTCATCCAACTTGGAAACCATGGCATCAATCTCCCCCTGAGCATCATGGGAAATAGGGGAGGCGTTAAACAAAGGAGATTTCAAGTAGGATGTTTTCTAAGATCAGTTTTCTGAGAGTGAACTGTTTTCGACATCTAACAGCAGCTGTTACTTTCAGGGACGTCGGGATGTTGCGCTCCATGTTTGCGATGTTTTTCAACATTCCATCCGCCATCTTGCTCTCATCTTTAGCCTCGCCACTCAAACGGATGGCGTGGTCCTCCAGACCCTTCACCCTAGCCGAAGACTGATCAAACCTGAACACAAATGGACAAAGTATTTTTAATATCGTGTAGCGTCCTGAGGAAACTCACAACATCAGAGTGTCTGGTCCTCCGTGTTTGAAGCGCTGTGATTGGATGATCTTCATGTCTGTTGTCTCGTGAAACAGGAAGAGAGAGACTCTTTGGAGGAGAAGTTTGAGCAAACAGAAGCAACTCACGTTGTTTTCAGATCTCCAATCAGCTCTTTAACTTTATTCTCTTTGTTCATGAGAGTTCGGACCAGAGCCAGACTCTTCTCCGAGTCGCTCAGAGCTTTGCTGGCGGTCTCGTCCACGGCTGTGGCCTTCGTCTGGTGTCTGAGGGATGGACAGAGAGACGGGTCAGTGGAGAATATCGGACACTTTGGTATGTTTAACGATTACATATCAGAATCATGGACTCACTTATCTGCGAGGCTGGTCGCAGTTTGCACCAACGACGACAGGGTGTTTGAACCCAGGGGAGCGTCTCCGACAGGAAGTTCCTGCCAGGAGAGAAACAGGATTCGTCACAGCAACAAACACCAAAGTCTCAACATCTTTATATTCACTTATTATACTGGACATATAAACAATATCTATAAACCTATGCTTATATATTTTAATCTTAATACTTTTAAATCTCTAAACTATAAGATCAACTACCTTTTCTTCCAAAATAAAAGCCGCTGAATTGACTGTGATTGATTGAATTGATTAACCAGCTGATCGGAGGTTGGTCTAAAGTCTGACAGCTGATTGGTCGAAAGTCTTACAGCTGATCGGAGGTTGGTCTTGGCCTCCTCCAGTTTGCGTTTCATCGCGGTCATCAAAGTCTGCACGTCCTCCACCTCCGTCTTGTACTTCCTCTGTTGTTGTTTGATGTCGTCGACCGTGTCGCCGATGTTTTGGATGTTCTGACCCTCGACCAGCTGACTCCTGCTGATGGACGACAGACGGCCCTGCAGCCTCTTCTCCATTTCTATTGGACACAGGAGATGTGGAATAATCAGGTCATGATATCGATTTGAACTTCTGAAAACTTTCTCCACAACTTCTCTCAAACAGAAAATAACTTTTTGTGGAACACGTTGTCCAATTACACTTTTTAACTCCCAAAAAATTCAAAAACATGTTTTAAGGAGCATGTCAAGCCAACAGGTGGCGATATAACCACAACTTTAGAGTCAGGCAGCCCAAAAAATATTGAAAAAACAGTACAATGATACTTTTATACTTTTTTTGTTTTAAAAATACCCATGAGCACTTGGAAAGCTGTAGTTCTTCCCGTGTCCACTAGATGCTGCTATAAAACTCTGATTTGAAATCAATGAATGCAGCGACATCCTCTCACCTGTCAGTTCCTCTGTGTCGTCTTGCAAGTCTTCAACCAGGTGCTCAGCAGTTCTCAGAGCGGCCTCCATGGTGGCGCTGTTGGCCAGAGTCAAACCTCCATCCATGTGTGAGAGTCGAGTCTCCAGCTCCTTCAGTCTGGCGGCGTAAACGTCCACCTGAGCACAGGAAACACGTTCAGACTTTAAACTGTGACACACAGACGTTCTTTGAAAATTCCAAATTCTCCGACATGAAACTTCACCATCTGTTAAATCATCTCAAAAGTCACTCAATCATTTTTATATTTTCTTATGTTCTTGTTGTTTTGTCTCTTGCAGCTGATTTGAACTGTGGTTAACACTGATGTGAACGATGAGTCACTTCAACATTTGCTGACTCGTGGCGTCTTGTGGTCGTCACCTGTGTCTTGATGGGGCTGAAACATCGGGGGCAGTGGGAGCGTTGACACCTCAGGCCCTCGAAGTCTGGTCTGCAGCGACAGCGGCCGGTGTCGTCACACTGTCTGGACTCAGAGCCTTGAAGGTCACAGTCACACGCTGTGAGAACAAGCGTCAGAAACATTTACACTATTAAAAACCCACGGAGCTTCATTCATTACACAGTAAAACTCAGGCTGCAGAGGGCGCTGTTTCTCAGTAAGGCCCAATCCCATTTCACCCCTTGGCCCGAGCACTTAGCCCTTCCCGTTCATTTTTCGCATTCACGTTTAAGGGCAGGCTGTCCCAATACCTCCCAAGACCTTTTGGGACAGAGGGGAAGGGCCAAGCGTTCGAAATGAAGATTTTTCAGACCCTCACTTCAAACCTAGGGTTAGGAAATTAGGAAATGGAAATTTCCCAGAATGTCTTGCGAATCACAGGCAAGCTGAGAGAGACCTACAAATGTATACATTTCTTAATTAATAATGATTTAAAAATGGAACAAAAAGATTGCTAGCGCTGGCGTTAGCAGCACAGATGTTACCTGGATATTAAAGGTTTGTTACTTTAGTAACTGCAAACAACAGCATTGGTTTATTTAAGATCTCAACAATGTTATTACAATGACGTCTCTCGTCTGTTCACATTGACAACTTGTGAGTCCTGCGTTAATGACATCACCTCCTGTTACTCGGTTCTTACGTTTGCAGGCGTCAGTGAGTCGGCTGCGGTAGAATCCTCTCACACAGGCCTCGCAGCTCCGCCCCTTCGTGTTGTTCACACACCTCAGACACTCACCGCTGCTGCGGTCGCAGCTTCCTTCCACGCTTACGTCAATGTGGCTGTTACAGTCACAGGGTCTGCAAGGACGGCGCTCTCCGGTGACTCCTGCTGGGTCGCCATAGAAACCCTCCTGACAGACGTCACAGCGAGGACCTGAAGTCAGACAGAAGAAACAACGTCATGTTTAAATATCTTATTTCAGTTTGAATGATTATAACTTTATATTTCCAGCTGGCTCATTACATAGAGCTCAGGTCTCCCCAGAACATCTGATCCATTGTTCTGTTTCACCTGGTTACACCACATGTGTCCTCGACTTGGTCTACGAAGTAGATTGAGAGGTCCACAGAGGCCCAGCTGAAATGTTTGATCGACAGAGGACTTCCTCTTGACATCAGCAGCTGTTGCTCAATTGCATCATTAGCTACTTTTAGTAACTGCAGCGTAACCATCTGAATAGCTTGTTAGCTTCCTCACCGACACACAGTGAATCTTGGGATAGTTGGCCTGACGAGGTTGTTGGCTGCTTACTATGACAGTTGGTTTTCACAAGCCTCTGAAGGACATGGCCTCTGAACTGGGACACAGCTCCTAAGTTGGACTCTGAGCTGGACCTGGACCAGACGGGTAAGATGTTCTCACCCAGTCCAGACTCTCATTGAAACCCAACACCCACAGGAAGCTGGTGTTCATTGAATAACATGTCAAACATTGCTGCTGCATCCTTCCTCTTCCTCTGTCCTCAAAGACTTTACCTCATTTCAGATTCACTTAGTCAATAATCAGGCTCAATTTTCACCTGCAGTGACATCACAGTGACCAAAGAGGAGCCGAATGTTTTCATCTGACTCTGGGTCTTACCGGTGGTTCCGGTCGGACAGCTGTCACACTGAGGCTGCAGTGAACCAGTGGCCAGGGAGCAGGACACTCCCTCTGGACAGGGACACTTCACACAGGTGTTGGGGCTCCCAGGGCTCTTCCAGGGGTCCCGGTAAGACCCCTGAGAGCAGCTCTGCTCTCCGGGCGTCTCATCAGCGGAGTAACAGTCTCCGGTCTGAGGGTCACAGCTGCCTCCTCTGCAGCTGCAGGGCTCGCAGGGGCTGAAGGCTCCATCTGCTGGGGTGCTGCGCCTGAAACCAGCCATGCAACGTTCGCAGAACTCGCCCTCGTACCCTGTGGGGCAGCTGCAGGTGTGGACCCAGCGGGCCGGGACGCCATCGTCACGCCGTGCTGACACTAACTGAACGTTGTCAAGGTAACCACGTCCTGAAAAGACACAACAGTTAAACACCAGGGTCACTCAGCTGCTGTTTCAGGAAAATTGCTGCTGAAGTATAAACGGACCGTTTTCACCAAAAGTCGCCCGGATCTTGACGGCGGTGAGATTCTGCAGGAGCTTCTGGAACTGGAAGGAGGAGATCTGAGGACGCCACCTGCTACCGGGCTGCTCGTCCAATCTGATCATCCGACAGAACACACAGTTTCACACTTTACAACTCAAACTGCAACCGACTCACTCTTTATAGTATATAATATAAATATATATCTATATATATACAGTCTTGGATATATATATATATAAATACATGTGTGTGTATATACTGTATGTATACGATGTGTTTGTGTTCCCAGTGAATGGTGTGTCTTATTGTCAGAGTCTCAGCAGCAGATTTGTTTCTACTCGCTCTGCAACTTCAGGAATGTGAAGAAAAAATGTTAAAGTGGAAGCGAGGATGAGATCAGATGTCACGGCAGGAGGTGTGTCTTTTAACCACGGAGGAGCACCAGGTGGGTGGAGCCTATCAGATTACTGACCTGAAGCTGTAGTTGATTTTCTTTCCACAGGGGACGATGGATCGCAGGTCGCCCAGCGAGGCCGAAACTCTCACACCACCACCTTCAAGGACCACGTCATCGGTGGACGGGTGTCGGGTGCCACGGTCCAGACGCAGAGAGAAGGAAAGGTTCTGACCATAACTTAGCAACTGGTTCCCCAGGTAAGGAGCTGTGGAGGAGGAGAGGAAACACCTGGTGAGGAAAGAAAAGATAGAAGAGAGAGACACGATCGGAGGGGAAAGGAGGAAAGTAGGATGTAGGCAAGAAGAAAAGGGGAAAGTGAAGAAAGAGGAGGAGGGGAAAATAAATGAAAGAAAGACAATAAGACAATGTGAGGAGGTGAAGGAGAGGGGGAGGAGACAGAGGAAAATAAAGAAATCAGAGAGTGAGTCATGAAAGGTGAAGAAGGAAGGTCAGGGAGGCGGGTCTTATTCTCACCTGGGGCGTACAGGTAGACCGGCAGACTGTTTTTAGAGATGACCTCCAGGTCCAGGTGTGTTGGGGACCATCGGAAGTGAACGTCTGCGGGGGTGAGGCCCTGAGTCGTCGCTGCCGTCCAACCCTCCATACCTTAAACAACACGACACACACTTCCTGATGCTTTCGTTTTAAAAATGAATCCCACAATGAATTGCTGAAGCTAACATTAGTCTTTTATTGTGAAGGGAAGTGGTGAGCGGTTACCGTCGGTGAAGGTCGACGTGATGTTGTGGACGGAGAAACCGAACTGTGCAGAACATCTGCTGCTGTGGCCGTAACAGAAACATGTCTGTCGACTCCCAGAATCCTCTCTGAGCTGACGTCTGAGAACCACGACGAGGCGCGAGGAGGCAGAGATGGACAAGAACAACCACAAGTTCAATTTGAAGCAGTGAAAGGAGTGGAAGAGAAAGATGAAACAGAAGCGCTGGAAGAAGTTCAACCAACATGTTAACATTTATTTGAAGTGCAAAGACTGAAAGGAATCACAGAGCAGTTTGAAGGATCGACACTGAACGAAGCTGAAATGACAAATAAGACAAAAGTACTGAACAAAAAACAATAACATTTAAACCCTGAAAGACGTTAAAGGTGCGAGAACGAAAGAGTTCATCTGTTGTTGAAAGGAACTAAAGTGGCAGAGGGAATTCAAGCAGTGAAACGAGTTAAAGATTCAGCAGAAGTGCAAATACAAGAATACGTTTAAAGTACAGACACAAAGGAGTTGAAATGATCGCAGTGAAGAGAAACTGGGCACATTGAACATGTGTTAGGTAAAAGTGCTGATGGGAAGTGAAGTGTGTAACTGTAGTTAAAATGTGAATTAAAGTGAAAGCACTGAAGCGTCAGTTGCAGGGAAAGAGCCAATTCAAGTGCAAACAACAAAAGTCTGATTGTTGAGCTGTACACCAAGATAGGCAGTGAAAACAATGAAAGATTGAAATGAGATGCAACAGAGAGGAACTGAAGAGTGTATTGATCTAAAAGTGAAGAACGTTTCAGTGGGAAGAAGAAAAATGAGAAGAAAGAGCTGAAGTGTTAGTTGAGCTGTAGCCGATGAAACATAGTGAAAGAGGAGTTCAAACACAGAAAGGCAAATAACAGTGAGAGGAGTTAAAGTGTCAGCGAGAGCGGAGCTGAAGAAATCTGAGATTCAATGAAACTTCAGTCATGAAAACTGTTAAGAGACAGTTTGAGTGAAAGCTCAACAAGAATTAATGTCAGTGAAGTGAAAGTGTGAAAATACATGAATGATGTTGACACAGTGATAAAAGTAGAAGCACAGGAAGCAAAAGTTGAGTCAAAGATGTAAAAAGAGTTGAAGCGACAGTTGAGTTGACATCATCCCTGTAAGATTTTTGAAAAATTATAATGTGTGAATGAAGAGAGCTGTTTACCTTTTCGAGCAGCCATTCGGTCCGATTGGTCCGTCTGGACAGCTGTTGCATTTATCTCCTGACACGCCTTCTTTACAGCTGCAGCGCCCCCTGCTGTCACATGTAGCACTGACAGACCCTGGAGGACAAGCAACAGTTTGAGACGTCCAGCACCTGTAAGAAGTCTCTGAGGACAGTGTGTGGTGCTTTCTCACCTGTAGTGTTGCATTGGCAAGGCGTGCAGCTCAGTGCCGCCCCCTCCAGGAAGAAGCCGGCCTTGCAGTGCTGGCAGTGGCGTCCCTCAGTGTTTCCCTGACAGTCGACGCAGTGTAAACCCAGAGCGTCTCGAAGGCAGTACGGAGATCTCCCATTGCACTCGCATCGAACTGTTGCTGCCGGACGACACGAAGAAAATGTATTTTATTGGTCTTTTAATTTTTATTCATTTTCTTAACTAATCTCACTCTTCAGGCTGTTTTGTATTTGAAATTGTATAATTTAGTTACTGTTCGTCTCAGTGTCGTGGTTTTAGACAACTTGATGGAACGTGATGGAAATCTTAATATATTATATATATTATGACAGGGCTTTTCAGAGTGTGGGACGCGCTCTCCAATGGGGGGCTAATTCTCCCACTTTGAAAACCCCTGTATTATGATATCTAATTTATGACGTCTTCGTCTTCTACGTGTTCGGCTCCTCTTCTTCATCCTGAGAGATTCGTGTTCTTCCAGTTTCACGTCCGTCACGTGTTAGAAACCTCAGAGAACAATAACGTTAATACCACTGCTCTATTTATCATATGTGCAGTTTATTTATTAAATGACATCTTGTTGCACTGACAATAAACATATCAGTGATGTAATATCATTCAATGTGTTCTGTTAATGGTAATGACACATAAACATGGCCCTTAATCCTCACTTTTTATGGAGCGACACCCAGTGGCCAGAAGTGGGTTGTGCATCCATCCCTTTCTTGTGAACACATTATCTCAAGAACACCTTGAGATAATCTTCTCAAATGTGGTACAAACTTCTCTTTGACTCACAGATGAACTGATTAGATTTCAGAGGTCAAAGGTCACAGTGACCTCATGTAGACTGAAACTTGACTATTTAGTGGAGAAACACGCACAGGACAATGGTTTCAGTTATGATGTCAAATATTAGCAGCAGAATCTGTGTTTTTTAATATATATAAAGTTAATACATCAGTATTGACATCAGTTCTTACTCTTAAAGTTCAGTTAACCCCTCTGAGGATGGATTAAAGAGAATAAAGTGTAGTTGTTTCATCCTGATAAACTAAACTTTGTGTTTCTTGTCGTTGATGATGAAGTTTACGATTCTAGTTTTGTTCTGCAGTGAGAACAGACAAGACAAAAGCAAAAGAAATGAGATGAGCTGCAGAGGAGTGAGAGAGTTTAAAGATGCTGAGCTGCTTCAGCCTCCAGATTAAAACATCAGAGTCAAAGCAAAGAGAAGTAAAGAAGGTTTGACACTTACAGTAAAACGTGTTTGTGGCCTGGACGAGACAAAGTGCAGATAAAAGCGTGCAGAGTAAAATCCAGCTGCTGCTCCACATGTTGATCAAATGTGTTCAGACAAAAATCATCCAGCTCCTCAAAGAGTCGTCTTTTAACTTCTCTGCTGCTGCAGGTCTGAACAGGCTGCACATACTGGCTCACACTTACTCACATGTGATTCACACACACACACACACACACACACACACACACACAGTCAGAGGATATGACGGCGGCAGTGTGTCAGCCTCTGTGTGTCGGGACAGTCTGGGGCGTTGTTCTGGACTCTTCCATCACATTTACATTTTTACAACACAAAGACGTTTCACAAGACAGAAAATTAAAAATCATGAGTGTGGACGTGAAGCTCGCTCTGTTCCTGAAACATGAAGATCACAGCTGAGGAGAAATCCTTAATCTATCAATACACAACATCTGAAGGAGGAAGAGTTTCACTCTCCAGAAAAATAAAAACACTCATCAACAAGATCAATAAAATCAAACGCTGATAATGGTCCAAACATATATCAACATTTTCATAATTCTGTTAATGATGATTTTATTTGTGTCTCCTGAGGTTATAAACTGCAGTGTTTGTTTGAATCACAGTCTGCAGCTGAGGTAGGACACACCCTGAACCTCACACACACACACACACACACACACACACACACACACACACACACGGTTGTTCTATCATAGTGAGGACTCTAAACTCTAACTTTAACTATAACTCTAACTCTACTTTAACTCTAAATAACTCTAACTCTAACTAACTCCAACTAACTCTAAGT